GGAGGCGCGGCCGGCGCTGGCCAACCTCCTGGGCGCCGGCGCAGCGCCGGGCCGTGAGCCGGCTGGGGAGGTGCGAGTTTGCCAGGGGCCCCGGGAGGACCCTGGTGCTGTGGAGACTGGCGCAGGGGAGGCGGAGCCCGCTTCGGTCGATGTCGGGGCGGCAGAGATCGCCACGCCGCCAGAGGGCGAGCCAGTTCTGCCAGGAGCTGCGACGGATGACCGTGCTGACGGTGGGACCAGCGAAGCTGCGTCACCACCCACGGTCGTGGAAGCGGGCACCGGCGACCAGGCTGCGGCCCGGGCGGACCGGGCCACGACCGCCGCGACAGGGGCACCCAGCACCTGCCTGGCCTCTTTGCCAGCCCGAGCCAAAGCCCTAGAGACAGCGCTGAGCAAGGTGACTGCAGCCGACGCAGACATCGCGACCATCCTGGCTGCAGAGGCCGCCTTCTTCGCCATGCTGGGTGAGGGAGGGGCTGGTGGATGAGGTGGTGAAGCCAGGGATCTGCGAGTGACGTGAGGTCCTGCACCTTGCGCCGTCATGCGCCAAGACATGGAGTGAAGGTGAACCCTTCTGAGCATGCCACAATCGACTGCCACCGTTTGCCCCACCGGTCCCCCACCCCCTCCCCTGCCAGACTCAAGTCCAGCCGACCACCGTGTGAGCCTGGCGTGGCTGCTCGCGGAACACGCCGCGGCCGGCGACGCGGCGGGCAGGGCGGCGCTGGTGGGCCTGCGCCGGCTGCTGGCGGCGGCGCAGAAGGTCCCCGGCAAGGTCGACGGGGCCTCGCTGCACGGATGCCTGAGCAGGTGTCAAACGAGCAGGGACCCCCTGGTCCGTGCCATGGCATCCGACTGCCTGCGAGCGAGTCGCTGCTGAGCGTGCGGAAGTTGTGGCGGGGCAGCCTGCTCGCCCTCGTGGCTCTCTGATGTGGAACGCAACACCCATGGCCCATTCCCACACCCCACTAGCACTCAGTGGCAACGTTGTTACAGGGGAATGTCGTCCTGTACTATGGATGACAGCAAGGGGATTCAGATGGTCCTAAGGGCATGGGAAATGTTGGGGCAGCGGGGTGGGAGATTGGGTACAACGCATGTTCTTCCTGCAGAAAGACGGGGGCAAGGCAAAGGGGCTCTGCGGTGTCGAACTGCACCGAGCGCGATCAAAGTCAAACACGGGGTGGCGCCTGATGGGGCAGCACAGGTTCCATCTGTGGAAAAGGGCATTCAGTGACTGGAATGGTTTTAGATGCAGGCAGTTCTAGGGGGGGGGGGGTAGGTTGGGGTCTGGGTCTAGGCCCCCGCCGCACAAATGGTGCAGCGGAGCGCGGTTGCAGGGGTTGTTCCTGGTGGCGCGCGTTGCAGAGCGCGGGGGGGGGATAAAACGGGTGTGGACAACGGCGCGGTGTGGCCTCAGGTGCAATCCTGTCGCGCTGCGACATCTGGGCACCAACCTTGCCTCCGCGGCGACTTGCCGGCAGCCGTGGTCAGCGGTGCGAAACAAAGGTCAGGCCTCCGCCCTGCCCCTGTCCAGGAGGGCCTCGGCCAGCAGGTCCAGCACAGCCTGCGCCGTGCTATGCACAACGCGCTGGGGGTGCGCCAGATCAGAGCGCGGCGGCGCGTAGCACGGCGCGGGTGCCAGCGCCAGGCGAGCCAGGCCGCGGGCGTGGCCGCGCGGCAGCGCCTGTCCCTGGTCCACCACGTAGCCACGCAGCAACCGGGTGTCCATCGGGCGAGGGGGGGGCCGGGCCAGCGGATAGGCGTCGGAGTGGGGGCGGTGGGGGGCCGGGGCGCGGGGCTGCCAGCCGTGCCCGCCGCCGTTCCCACCCAGCCCCGCCAGCGCGGCGCGGGCGGCGGCCTCCCAGTCCTCGCTGCGAGTGAGCTCCCGCCCCGGCCCCGCGGGGCGGGAGCCGAGGGCCAGCGTGGGCGGCGGCGTGCGCGCCCGCGCCGGCTCGGCGCGGTGCCGGGCGTGGGTCAGCATGGTGGCCGCCAGCTGGAGCAGCTGGGCCGCCTCCTCCTGGCTCTCACGCCCAGGCCTGGGGTCGACCCGGTGGGTGCTGGAGCGGTGGGACGGGTCGTCGCTGTCCGCGCTGCGGAAGCGCTTGAGCGAGCCGGGGGTGGGGCAGTGGAAGGCGGAGCTGCTGCTGTGCAGCAAGGTCGCGGAGGCGGTCTGCGAGCTGGGCAGCGAGGCGCGGAACGACTCGGCCTGCTTGTTTATTTTTTGTTGGAGGGGGGGGAAGGGGTTGTTGAGCATGGGGAAGGGCCCTCAGTATGACGAGAGTGGGGGGTTGGGGAGTTTGGGTAAGGTCCTCAGTATGAGGAAAGTGCCGAGGAGCAGGCGCAGACCACAGTACTTAACCGAGACTGGCACAATAGGAGCCACAAGAATGGCGCATGAGCAAACAGGGTCTGGATCTGCCGCATCACGGCATGCTCACCTTCTTGGACTGGCGAGGGCCGCGCGTGGACCGCATGCTCCCAGTCTTGGCGTACCAGAGCCCGCAGGCATTGCACCTGCGCACATCACAAACGGTGGGGGAAGGGGATTGAGTGGGAGGGCAGGACCCCGTCCTGCACCGGGTGCATGGATGCGCCATGCGCACGACAGATTACAAAGGGGGTGAAACGCAATCCGTTTCCACTCCCACGCACGCACAGTGTGCCGACCCCCCGGGGGCCTCGTCTTTGCAGCGGCGTCTGGTCTGCTGTGGCGCTGCAGTTGTCGCAGCGCCACAGCGGGATGCAGGCGATGTTCACGGTCTCCGTCATGCGTTCTGAGCGGGGAGGGAGGGGGTTCCTGGCGTCAGGCATGCTCCGTGTGAGTACGGATGGGCCGCGACCACACGCTGTCGTACCGCCGAGGGCATCAAACATGCCGCAAAGACCATGCTGCGCCTTTGCGAGGCAGCGGTGGAGCTGCTCATGGACGTGCGATCAGTAAGGTCATCCCTGCCCCCTGATTCGCGCGAAACTCACGATAAGGCCTGCCGGGCGGTGCGATCGTAGCTGCGCACTCCCTCGTCTCCACCAAGAGGTCCAAGGAGGAGTATTAAGGGATTTCAGACGGATGTCGGGGACGGTGTGCGGGCAACGTCTCGCTGGGCTTGCGATACTCCCGATTCCGCAGAACGGCAGAGCTCGAGGCTGCAGGCGGCACGCCAGCCCAAGGTAGCCCCGGACGAAGCCGCTGCTGGAATATAATGTTTACGAGTCAGTATTGAAGACGCTTGACGGGCTAAGCGCGAGGACTCGACGAAATCCGGGGTCGAGGTGTCGCATGGGAAGGGAGTATGGGACCCCACGAAGCCGCCCCGGTATCAGGTGGAAGCGGTGCCCCGGTTTCCATGATCGGATCGCGATCGGTACCTCGTCCATCACGATTTTCTTTTAACCCCAGGCGTACTTTCGTGAGCAACGCCAACCGAGTTTGGAACTCATGATATTTGAATAATGGTTACAAAAGCTGCCTTTTGTGTTGAATCGATCTCGGTTCCCTGCCTCGTCAGATCTTGATCAGAATCGGCATGGGAGGTCTTTGAGGGTGTACGAGATCGCGGAGCACGGGTCCGCCAGTCCCACGAATGATGATGGATCGCTCCCAAACAAACAGCTGAATGAATCATGATTGCCTCGGAACCTCTAAGACCCCTTTCGAGGTCCGGGGTCGGGCACCAGGGATCACGCACACTCCTTCTCGCGATGTCGGCGAGGGGGAGATCATACGTCAGCCTGAGGTGATGGGGGGTCAACAGCCAACCGGGTGCTCGGGATGCCATGTTTGCACAGTCAGACTGCAACCATGCCAGAACGTCTAGAGTGTCCCCCTCTGAGACCCCCCCTCCAGGATGTGCGTGGCTTTCCTCCTTGACAGCGGGGCACCTCACTGTGCCCCTGCCTCGCACAGAGCGAGGCGATCACGAGAACCAAGAGGCGTGCTGGGCCCGCAGCCAGGCGGCCAGGCGCGCGCAGTGCGCGGCCACCTCCTCGCACTTCGACAGCGCGTCGTACGCCGCCAGGAGCTCGCCCTCCTTTCCCAGCACCGCGGCCAGGGCCAGGCCCGGGCGCCGCTCCATGCGCACACCGCACAGCGGCCCCTCCGCCTCCGACCCGCGGTCGTACGCCGCGGCCCGAACCTGGCTGTACGCCAGCACGATGGCCTGGGGGGGTGGGAAGGGAGGCGACGGGGGAGGGGTCGGCGGTGCCTCGGGGGACTCACGACGGCGTGCGGCAGCATGCAGGGGGCTGGCTGCAGGCATCCCCCTCCCCAGGTATTGCGTCTGCCAGGCCCTTCACACCCCCTGCTCACCATCATACCCCCCCACCCGAATCCCTCGTGCCCACCTGCTGCAGCCTGCCGTCGCCGACCGGCGGCGAGGCCACGAACTGCGCCCCGCCCGTCAGGCGGTAGGCGTAGTGCAGGAGCGGCGTCGTCCCCGGCGGGCCCCCGCCCAGGCTGGAGGGCAGGTCGCGCACGGCGAGGGAGGGCGAGGCGCCGGCCAGGTGGCCCACGGGCGCCAGGCGCGCGGCGGCGGCCGCCAGGCTGGCGCGGTCCGGCGCGCCGGGGACGAGCAGGGCCAGGGTTAGCGGTCCCAGGCCGGCCCCGGGCGACGCCCCCGCGGTGGATCCCTCGCCGCCCAGGCGCCGGACGTAGGCGTGCAGGAGGGCGGTGGGGTCGGCGTGGGGGAGGCACACCGGGGTCAGGGCCTCCTCGTCCCCCAGCACGCCCACGATGTTGAGCAGCAGCAGGACCTCCCACTGCGTCAGGGGGGGGCGGCCGGGGGCGGCGGCCAAGGCCACCACGCCGGCCGGGCCCAGCAGCAGCGCGTAGTGCCCGCGCGTCGACTGCGCGCGTGTGTCGTGGGGGAGGGATGGAGCGTGCGAGCACGAGGGGGAGTCCGTGCATGTGTGCACGGCATCCTGCGGCGCAAGCAGCCGAGCAGCGAGACGGGGGCCCGGCACTGCCTGCCTGCCGACGCTGCGCCAGCTGCACGCTCCCGTCTGCCCATGTCAGCATGCATCCATGACCCGCCCGCACCCACCCCGAGCGCGATGTCCAGGTGGGTGGCAAGCACACGCCGCCTCGGCTGGGGCAGGGCCAGGGAGGGGTAGGCGCCCAGCAGGGCTGCCGGGCTGCGGGCCCAGCTGCACACCAGGGCGTCCAGCATCTTCTCCGTGCCGCCTTGGGGGGGAGGGGGGGTCAGTGCGGTGGGCTTGGCTGCAGAGAGACAGGACCGTTCCCCACTCAGAACGACTCAGGAGCCCTCTGCCGGCCATGCCCTCGCAGCCGCCCCGCTCACACCCATCGGCCCCGCCGCCCCACCCACCGACCTAGCAAGCGGCGCAGGTCGTAGGAGGGGGCCTTCCTGAAGAGCACGCCCAGTGCGCTGCGTGTGAGCACGCTTTCCAGCTGGGCGTGCAGCAGAGAGAGCTGCATCCTGAGCACCGGCGCAGGCTCCCCCTGGTTGGAAACCGCAACCAGGGCCAGGGGTGGCCGATCCAGGAGCACGATGGTGGATCGGCCAGACCTGCGGGGCGGGAGAGCTCAGGGTTGGGCTGGGGCTACACGGCTTGGGCTCGCAGCTGGGGCATTGGCCGGGTTGCCAAGCACACGCGGGGAGGACTTGGACACAGAAAGCCTAGCCTGGCCTTCCCCAGCGGAGCCTCCCAGCCCGCCCGACCCCCAGCGCACCGTATGGAACGGAGTTCCTCCCCGCGACTTCCCGCAAAAGCCAGGAGGCCAGCCGCCGTCGCTGCGACGCCGGGCAGACCCTCGATCTCCTGGGGCCAGCAGTAGACTGGCTTGCCAGAACTGCTCAGTACCAGTACAGTCTTGGATGGGGTGTTGGGTATGGGTGCTGGTGGTGCTGGTGGGGAGGCTGGCGCTGAAAGTGACGGGTGTCCGCGCGCGGCGTCAACAGGGGAGGCTGTGGGGCTCGGAGTGCGGTCGGGCAAGGCAGTCTCCTCCTCTCGGATGGGGAAGGAGTCCAGCGCATCCTGTGAGCGCGCAGACGCACGAGTCAGAGGTGGGATATGTGACAGGAGAGGAGGAGCGTCACCTTTCCCCACTCCTTGCAAGTCCATTTACTGCACAGACGCCACCCCTCTCCCACCTCTCTGCTCCCACCGAGGTGCGGGGCTCCCTCTTCATCGCTGTTTGAGGGGGACGCTGCATCGACACTTTCTATAGAGCCTGCCTTGCAGATCTGTGATGCATGAAGAGGACAGTGTCGAGCACAATGTTCCCGATTGAGGTTGAGGCCACAGCCAAAGTGGTCTTGATTTCCCTCTCACCGGCAGGCTGCTCGCCGACATAGGTTCTCGACGCGATCACGACATTTCTGAATTCATACAAGATGCGCGACCTTGGAGACCGTCCACCAATCAAACGAAACGGCGGCCGCGGTGCACCGTGGAAAGTGTCAAGGGTCGAGCAGTGGGTGACGGAGAAGCCGGTGTGGATCTCCAACTTGTCGTGTGGTGTGGTCTCAGTGATTCCACTTCTGTAATATAAGAATCGACCAAATGGAATGCCAGGCGAGGACTGCGGGTCGCAAACGTTCCATACTAGGCAGGGAAGCCAAGGTCTCCCCTGCTCGTGCTGCTGGCACCATCTTTACATGAGCTATAGGACACGGTTACAGGGGGGCATAAGATCACTTCACCACAAAGCCACAGGCACTGGGCCTTCACTCATTCTGCATCCTTTGCCTGGCCTCCAACGCGGCCTTGATGATGTTTCCACGCGTGATGATGCCCACCAGTCGTTTCTGATCATCCACCACCGGCAGCCTGGTGGGAGGGCAGGTTGGTGGTAGACGCAAGAGGTTGTAGACATGTACATCGCAAACTCATCTGTGACAATAGACACGTCCATGTTCCAGCAGCCATCTCCTCTCGCAGGACATTCCCTCCACGAAATACAAACTCCATCCTTAAAGGTGACCCACCTGCCAATGCGCATGCGCAGCAGCAGGTTGGCAGCGTCCTCAATGGTCGTGGATGCCCTCACACAGACAGGGTCCGGCGTCATCACGTCAGAGATACTGCGGAGGTTGTGAGGGGAACACGACTCAGGGATGGAAATCATGGTCTTCAAGCAGGGGCAACCATCAGAAGTTGGAGTGGCTCCACACTCCACGATTTGCAAGTATGCTGAGATCCACATGCAACATCCTTTTTTATACCAAACTATGCCGTCTGAAGCCCCTCAAGACCTCACATTTTTCCTGCATTCTTCAGCATCAGTTTCTGCACCTCGTAGAAACTGTCCCAGGTCTCGTCAGATTCCGGGAAGAGGGAAGCATCTATGTGGGA